AAAAGTCAAGTATTTACTCATCAGTGAAAGGATAGGTTACTTTCTTCATGTATACTACATAAACCATTTACTTAGACATAAGAGTCAGCACTGTTTAGCCATTCCTCGGAATGCTTGTCACATGGGGACAAGGCTGTGCCGTGGAGGCTCAGGGAAGAAAAGGGTTGAAGTTGAGATAAAAAGCATCTTTGAGAGAATACAAAGCCCCATTGTAAACAATGGGTCAGTCTACACAATAAAAGGTATCTAAAAATGACATCTGAACCTCAGTGGTAACCAAGGAACTACACATAAAACCTACAGTGATGTGCCATCCCAGGGGTCGTGCTGACAAGAGCGTAGGAATCTGGCTGTACTAAAGTTTGAGTCTTAGAGAGAAAGCTCAAATACTTCCGGAAGGGCACATTTTTTTTGATAAAACTGCTTTGGACTCAACAATTCTACACCTAGGTATTTGTCCACTCTGCATAAGCCCATGTTATCACTTGCATGTACAAAGCGACAAGGACTTTGTTCACTGTGCTGCTGTTACAATAACACAATTGTCAACTCGTAGGAAAAGAAATAACCATAATATCAGTAAATTGAATACATGTAGCAGCTGAGCTGAGTGAACAGATACATGTGCATAAGCATGGGTGGGTTTTGGAATACAACAGGGAGCCTCAACAATAAGTTACAAGGCGTCACATACAGTAACTCGACTTAGATAACATTTTTAAAGCAAAAAAACCCATAGCTTTTTGGCAAAAAACCCCCATATATACTTATAAACTTATTATGTATTAATATAAAAGCATGACTTTGATACACATTAAATTTATTACATGGTTGCCTTTGAGCAGAGAGCAAGGAAATAGAACTATCCAGGATAATGTTCTCTCTTGGACATTATCAAAATTCTTTTGCCATTTTGATGCCCACTGACTGATCTGGCAAAGTTAAACAGTACAGAACCAGGCGAAAAGGTCATGGGTCTGGATTCAAACCACCAGGGACAGTGCCAGGTCGCCACTTATTCCATGTCAACTTAACTGGTCCTTATCTCCCTTCCTGCTATCTTATGATGATCACAGTAGATTTGTAGTAGACACAATACTATCTATCCAATATTGACTGTAAATAAACATTTGTCACAGTGAATTTCGTTTCACCGTCACCACCGTAACTGCCACACCCATTGCTAGGTGCTGGAAATGAAGTGCAGAGACTGTAATCACTGGAATGAGACAGATACTCAAAGAAATAAGAGAAGAAAAGCTGACCCTGTTGAGGTGAGGACATGTCCCAGGGCCTGAAGGTCTGAGATGTGAACACCTGGGTCCCCTCTGCTGTATCACCGTGTGGCTCAGTACACAGCCAACAAAAAGAACCATCCTTGAATGAGGCATCAGCATTTCCTTTCCCAGGGTCTAGGAATTCTAAATATCAAACAGTGGATTCTCACTTGAGTCACAGAGGCAAGAGGCCGCTCAGACATCTGTCTCAGTGCCAGCAGACTCCCAAGGTCTTACTGAAATCTCAACAGAAGGCTTTGCGCTAACTGTAGCCAAGGCCAAATTAGCGCCGGGAGTGTAAGGAAAAGAATTCCAGAAGCTTCCAAGCAATGTCCTTGTCTGTCCAGCCAGGGACACCCATGAAGAGATTGCACATGTTCTCCGGACTCGTGCTGATGACCTCAGGGTCCTGGGGTTGCTTCCCCAGACCCACTTCATTTCTGCTGTTCCAAGTGAAGAGAGACTCTGTGTTCCCAAAAGGAATCCTTTCTCCCTGTCTTAGTTAGGGTTTTATTGCTATGAAGAGACACCATGACCATGGCATCTCTTATAAAGGCAAACATTTACTTGGGGTTGGGTTATAGTTTCAGAGATTCAGCCTATAATCATCATGGTTAGAATCATGGCAGTGTACAGGCAGGTATGGTGCTGGAGGGGCCAAGAATTCTATATCCTGATGCAGAGGCAGCCAGGAGGGGACTCTCTTCCACAGGCAGCCAGGAGAAAGCTCTGATTCCACTGGCCAGGCTTGAACATTTATATGAAACAACCACAGGGATATACTTCCTCTAACAAGGCTGCACCTACTCCAGCAGGGCCACACCTCCTAATAGTGCCACTTCTCATGGGCCAAACATATTCAAACTACCACACTCCCGTTTTGGGGATATTTTACCAACAGCAATAAAACTAACACAGAATGTAATCTAAAGCAATACAGATCCACCCATGAGACATCAATTAAGTCTAAGTTAAAATTTTACAGATATATACATATATACACATATACCATGCACATGTTCTTCTATTCCAAACTTTTAAAAGAGGTCTTGTTTTCTTAAATCTCTTTTTAAAATCTAGTATGTATTTCTAAGACATTAAATTTTTCTCTAAACTGTCTTTAAACTTCCTGATACCACCTTGAGGGAGGGCTTTCCACTTCCTGCCTTCTGACCCCTTCAGCTGTATGTTTCTTGCTAAGGGAGGATGTAATCACAGTGGTGGCCATGATGCATGCTGCCCTGCATGATAGAGATCTCGGCAGACGGCTGCCGGCAGGGAGTATCTGGGGAAGGATGACATTTTCTACCAGCCAAGAGAAGAGAGAGAATGACCCGTCCTATCAGGACAGCCAGCAAAAAGAGGCTGTGGGGTTCCTGATCCACAGGAGGCTTGGTGTGGGAGCAAGTATTAGTTAAGACTCTTTCCTAATGCTTGGCAGTCTAAGAATTCAATTTCCGTAACATGAATACATATATATCAGGAAATTCACAGCTACCACATAAAAGAGGTTCGGTTTTCAACTAAGATAACTTCAGTTGAGACTGTTTCACACTTGCCTAAACTCAACCAACACTGGTTTCCAGGAGCTGACGGAGGCCAGACACAGCTGGCAGTTTATTGCTTGTGTCACGTGCATGACTCTGATGTAAGGAAATATTAGACAGTTGAGACACGCGATCATAAAATCTTTGTGGGAAAGAAAAGAGCGCTGTTTTAGTAAGCCAGCTGGACCATTCACTGTATACTCTATATTACTAAAAATAAATCCTTGATGTACTTTCCGTGTTTTGAAATATACCAAAAAGTGCCATAAAAGAAATCTGGGGACTGGAGGGACAGCTCCATGGTTAACAGCATGTACTGTTCTTGCAAAGGACCTGAGCTCCCAGTATACACTCTGGGTTGGCTCACAACTCCCTGTAACTCCAGCTCCAGGGGAACTGGTGTTCTCCTCTAGCTTCTTCAGGCATTTGCATGGATGTGCAGTGTACATATCTCCACCACCATCACCATCACTGCCTCACCACCACTCCCATCATCCCCCACCATTACCACCATGAACACCACCCCCATCACCACCACCACCACTACCAACACCACCATCTCCACCACCACCACTCTCTGCCACCACCACTACCAACAGCAACAACAACAACAACAATACCACTTTTGAAAAGAAAAGAAAAATTTAGAGATTTGTGAATGGGAGGGAACAGATGCTATGTGTGTTTTGAAGTTTCTCTGGGTTGCCTGTGTCTTCCTTCTGTTGTCCCCGGGCCCAGAGAGGCCTCCCCCTAGGTTTTCTCTGAGGGTCACTGACCCCTTTCTTTCCCTAGGGCCAGTTTCATACTGGACCACACAGCAACATTTCCTAGTCAAGACTTCACAATTTCTACCAAACTCAGCCAGGAATTAATTGGGTAAATAGTACACTTTTTTCTCAACAGGACTTTCTTCTGTCAATTATTAAATAATGTTATCTAGACAAAAATATAGATCTTGGGGCCTCATGTTGAAAAGAGCAGTGACTGTCTCTATATGAAGATGACTTGATGAAGAATAAGGAAAAGTGATGATAACAATGAGCCGGGATGAGGAATAAAGGCTGACAATTGGGACCAGTGTCTGGTGGGCTGTCCTGAGTCAGGAGAAAGTGTTAATTCTATTCTTTTCAATAGTGACTGCTTTGAAAATAATAATATTTGATTCTTCAGAAGTATCTGAGAGCTCTTATTCAGGTGACAATAATTTGGAGATAAGAAGAAAACAATACTGGTTATAATTTTATGTTTAAATTTGGAAAACCAGTTTTAAAATTAATGATTTTAATGACTAGAATAAAAATTCTTAAATTTGACAAACAAATAAACCAAGAAACCTAACAAATACAAATACCCAAATTTAAAAATTTGTTCCATAACCCCTAAAACAACCCCAATATTATCTCTTTTTTGAACCAATAAATAAATAAATAGATAGATAGATAGATAGATAGATAGAAAAATAAATAAATAATAAGAGCTTATAAGTGGCTAGCAGATCTAAACCATACTCATGATTTATGCAAGTCTGAGACAGACTCATTTTAACACGTATACTTTGACTTGTTTTCTCTAATTTCTATTTTTGCCATATAGTATCTTATATGTGATACATGCTTATAAGAATTATTTTATTTTTAAGTGTGTGTGTGTGTGTGTGTTTGTGTGTGTGTTCATGAGTGCAGTTGCTTATGGAGTCCATAAGGGAGTGGTGCATCACTTGGAGCTGGAGTTAGCCATCCAATATGGGTACTGAGAACTGAGTTCAGCAAGGACTCCAAACTGTGTCTTTGGCCCAATACATCCTTTTAAATTGCATTGAAATAGTCTCTGAAGAAAGGGGAGAACAAAAACAAACAAACTAAGAAGTGTATATCCAAGGGGAATCTGCAGAGGCAGTGTTCGTCAGAGGGCTCGGTGAGAGCTAACGCTGGTTGCTTCCGAAACATCCTCCCATGTGGGATTATGTGAAATGTATCTGTTTGCTTACCAGATATGTATATTGTGCTTCTTGGTTAACAAAAGGACTATAATAAAGAGAATTAAGGTTGGGAGCGATATGGTTTCATACTGCTTAGCCATGAGAATCCCTGCTCTGGCACTCATTTTTAAACACATGTTGCAAAAAATAGACACACTGGACATTAGCCAAAGCTGTGATAGCCCGGGACTTACTCACCATGCGAGCCCGAAATACTGCAGGGATGAAGGACTGGTTAGAGAGCTGGAGAATTCTGGATGTGTCCTTCAGGACATAGATGTTGCCAAAGTCAATTTGAGTGGGGTGTATGAAGATCACGGGGCCTTCTCCAATACTCTGTATGTGACATGCCTGTGTTCCACAAGAGGAAGAACAAAGGACCGGGTGAGGGTGCTGGTATGAGCTCACATCCCTTCCCGATGGTTCTCTGTGGTCAGAGGGACACAGAGATGAACATGTGTGGTCTAGCCTGGAATGTCTCCCTGGGGTGATCAACATTCCTGGGCCAGCCTGGTGTCACAGGGTAGAGAAAATCAGATTCTTGGAGCTGTAAGTCCCATCCAGTCGTCCATTCTCAAGAACTCATTAAGTTATGTGTTGCTGTGATGTGTCTGAGTTTGATACCCAGCTTTATCCATTCTGGTAATGGCTGACAGGCAAAGCTACTGCACAGGTTGGCGGTTGAAAGCCACACTTTGAACTACACGGCTCCTTTTCTTTCCTAAAGCACTAGCTGCCTTCTTCGCCAATTGTATGTGTGCAGGGAATGACGGGGTCACAGTGAGTTGTGTGGGAGATGCTGGTCTGCTGTAGGTCACCTGTAGCATCTTACACAGAAGTGGTCAAAGCAAAACACTTAGCTCATCGTGCTCCCTAGGTGATCAGACTCCACTCAACAAACGCTAATCAGCTTCCAAGCAAACTTCAATGCCCAGGAAAACAAACTCCATTAAGATTTATCAGTTCAGCCTAAGCAGCAGTTTTCAGTGTTTCTCCCCTACCTTGCCTGAAGAGACTCTCAACAGCTCCCGTAGGTAAACTTGGGTGACTGTTAATGAAGCTGCTCTTTAGAAGATGATCTGGGGACCAGCCTGTGAGTGACCGAGTGATGGCCAAACTTAGCTTTGCTCTTGGAACAACTGAAGAACTTGTTGAACATACAGATATGCTGACCGTGAAGAGGCTCCAACCATGTATATGTATGTGTGTTAGGTGTGTGTGTGTATGTGTGCACGAATACATGTATACATGTGTGCATGCATATGAAAATTGTGCTACTCACGATAGGCTTACGAACAATTACTATACTACCTTACAACTTTTGGATGTATCTGCAGATAGTTTCCCCAGGTAATACCACACACATGCTTTACTTTGGCAGAATGAAAACATAAAGCCTTGTAACTGTAGAAACAAAAGGATATACAGTGATGACACACACCTTCAAGGAAAGAAACTTTTCAGTTTCTTTCATAGTTTCTCCTATGGTAGGGAGCGTGTGACCTCAGTGGTGATGCTGAAATCGGACTCACCAGAGGGGGTTCCTGGCTCCCGAAGACCGAGATGTAAACTGTGGATCGGTGTGCACCAGTGACCTGGGTCTCCAAGGCTAGTGGTATGTTCACAGTGCTGTGGGGGTTGATGACCCCACAGGGGGAGGGGCTGGAAAGCAGCACAGTGGGTGGATTTTCACACAGCTGCGGAGAGAAAAACCAGGGTAGTAGGCAAGCATTGCTTAGAGGAGAACACATGTCATGTTGGCTTATTTTGAAGCAAGTATTGTTCTGAGTTCATGGAGAGTTGTTAGAAATATCTCATCATTTAGAGAAGCCTATGGGATAAAGACCTTGATTCAGCCAATAGGACATTAGGTTAAATGGCCCCCTCCAAAAAGACTATCCTAGGGATGCAGGGAGTGAGCACAGCAGGCATTCAGGACAATTGCCATTCATGACCAAGGTCTACAGCTGAGTCCTCTGTGCCTTCATGCTTCACTTCCCGCTGCCTTAGACCTTTGCACTCCATTAACGCAGGTCATGCCACCAGCACTTTCTGAGCACGTGGTCCTCGCCCCAAAGCAGTCCTTTGCTTCTGTGATCACCTTCTTAGCCTGCTGTTCTCCTTGACCTGCCACAGACACTTTTTTCTCTTTAATTTGCTCTAGTTACCCACCCCTTGGAAAGCTTCAGGGGGTGGCTTGCTCTGAGAGCGCCCAGTGAAGTCCTTCTCTACTGCATGTGACCACCAGCGTGCCCGATGGATGTATTTTGGAACCTGGCTTCTTTTTCCAAGTCCACATTCTGGCCCAAAGCTGACACTGTCAGTCTGAGTAATTCCAAAAACCTTCCTGAGGGCCTTAGGTCCCAGCGGCAAGGCACAGCACACAGCTTTCATCCTTCTGGAACATCCCTACCCTTTCTGCATCTGGCCTGGCCTGACATAGCTTTGCAACACTCTATGATGGCATATCAGTCCTTGGCTGAGGCCCCTGGAGCCTGAGACAAAAGAGGAAACGTCTGAAATGTGATCTTTTATCCAAATATTGATACTTTGTCCACTAGAGTTTTTAAAAATTAATTTACTATCTTAGAACATGTGGTGAGAAGACGCTAGTATCTTGATGACTGAGCAGGCTTCCCCTTCGATACTGCACCCAAGGCAGGTTCCCAGCTCCCCTGTGTTGACCTTACTTCCCTTATCCCTGGATGCAGGCTCTGCTCTGAGTTCTTGAGATGGCCATGCACAGCACAGGGCCCCCTCTTCTGCTGCTGCGTCTATGTTGGATGTGCTCTGTGGCTTGGTTCTTGATTTCTGCTTATGTCAAGAGAAGCCTACATAATAAGTTCAACATCCTCTCCTACATACCCCTTTGGCTAGTGAGAGGTAGCCATCTGGTCCTGGCTCAGTCTTCTTTGTTCAGTTGAAACACTTGAGTTGGCTCTCCTCAAGACTTTGCAGATGACATGGGCCACATTTTGGCCCATGCTACTCCAAACATGCTGCCCCTCCCCCTTCCGAGTTTCCATTTCGAAAGATGACAAGAACTAAAGACAAGTGTCTGGCCGTGTTTTGACCCGTGGTTACCATCTTCCTCCAGCTGTATTTTTCACATGCAACCCAAATCTTTATTCTGTGTCCCTACAAAACAGGTAACTTGACACGAATTACTCCCTAGTCCCCACCCCCATGAATTTATATTGTAGTCTATACTCACAGACCTAAAGTACATTCTTGGTAAACCGTGTGTCATTAGTGACCTTCCATTGCTCTATATAAATATTTTGAATTTTCTGCATATGTGACCTGTTTGGTCCCCCTTGTAACCAGGTAGTGATGTGTGGAAGAGTGTATTTCATAGGAATTAAGACACAATCTCTCTTCCAGTGTGACCTCTAGATTTCTGGTCCAAAGGGTCCATTTATAAACATTTCATCACCATACCTTGGTGATGCTGTTCAGCCTTGGCCATGAGTACAAATGAGACCTCTCAGCTCATTTCCCAAGCATGGTTAATTCACAGGCAATTATTTGCAGGTGCACTTCTGCATGTTGGTTTAATTGACACTTTCTCTTCTTTATCAAGGACAATTTCCTTGGGAAATTAACAACCGTTTACACCTGCAGCTGCTCAGTCACACAGACGGCAATCCAAGCTGTGGCTCTCTAAGCCTGCACCCGACTCATCCGAGGGTTAAAAATCAGAAGCACAGGAGGTCATGGGCCCAGGACCACCACAGCCTCTCAGGAGGTCAACATTGAAGAAGGATAAAGTAACTCACCTGAGGCAGGACCTTATAGCATCCAGGAAGGTCATCATGATTGACAAGCTGGATGTTCTTCTCATATGGGTACTTCAGGAAGCAGCGCCCAAAGTCCACCTCTGTAGTCACCAACTGAAGCTTGGGTACGACACACCTGCTCAGAGGAGCCCATTAAACAGTTCAAAATGGAGAGCTTGTTACAAAAGGGAAGATTGCTAAGCTGAAGGCATCTGTCACTGTTACATAGTGGTTTTTCTCTAACAACAATAATAGCGTGGGGGAACAAGTAACCATTTCTACCTTCTGTCCTGTTTTGTCTTTTAGCCCCCATTTACCATTAAGTAATCAGAAAGAACTAGAAGAAGACCTCCTTAATAGTTGCCTTTGCTGTGTATTGATAACCCTTCCCATAGATGGTTTTCACTGCGCTCCTCCTTTGTGAAGGGCCCCATAGCCAAGTTCCTTAGGGTATCCAGTCTGTGTCTGTGTCAGATAGGGCCAATGCCAACTACACAGAGGCTTAACTAGCTGTGCTGCTCGGACAAGCTGCTGTGCCTCCAAGGATAAGGCTTGGATTATTTAAATAACAATGATAATTCTAATTCCTGTGCAGAGTAGCTGTCTCCTGCAGCTCAGCACAGGACTGGAGCTGTGCCAGCGTTCCCTGCTCGTAGCCTGGCAGGTGACCTGGGCTTTGTTTCATGCCTATGGCTCTCAGTGTCTAATCTTCCCTGTGCCACTCACTGTCCTGACATGAAGCACAAAGATGAGGGGGGCACTTTTTAAGTTCTGTGGAGTCCAGTTTAATGCTGACCTCACGGAGTCCAGCCTATGTCTCTTTGAGTCACCTGCTTTCTGTCTCACATCTCACCCCCTAGGGAGAAAAGTGAAAGTCTTTCTGGAGACTGGATGGCATTGTTTAGTGGGGCTGTTACTCTTAGGGTGGTGTGGAGGAATCTAGGAGAGCCTAAGTGCACAGCTAGAGTGGATGAGCCTGCGGGAGGGTGAGGCAAGTCACTGCTGGCTTTCTGAGTGGATGCTAGTAGAACAAGTTCTAAGAGAAGCTCCTCTGGTGGGAGTCAGCAAGCAGCTCCTGCAGATGACATAGGAAATGAGAACAAAAGGATCTCTCTTTAACCCGATGCCTGTTTCTGAGCAGGGATGAATGTTTGTTTTTAGCTGGCATGGAAGTTGCCAGTTGACCCAATGACTTTCTCAAAGCTGTCCCTTTGCTTCCCTAGCCTGTGTGGCCGAGGTGGTGTGTGATGTTTTACAGGGGTCACAGCAAACCTCAGCAGGAAACTCATGCTTCCTTTAGGCATTATTAATTTTTTTTTTTTATAATTCAGAATAGCTGCAGGGAGAGGAGGCTGAAGAGAACCAGAAAGAGCCAGCACAGAAATCAAGTGCAAGATCAAAGCCAAAGGAAAAAGCAGACCCCAGAAAGGTACAGACTGAACCAAAGAGCCTTTTCCTAGTTTCAGTGAGACAAACAAAGTTGGATTGTGGTGATATTTAAATAGATATTTAATTAGGCAGCAAGAGTTCTAGTTCCTTCCAGGTTCATATTTGTCTCCATTCAAACTTTCAACACACAGTTATTACCTGACACCCCAATCAGCATGTCTGCACCCTCTTTAAGGTGTGTCTTCCTAAGACTCATAAGACGTAACTCCCAGATACTGATGTACCAGCCCTGCCAAGTCCTTTCTGTCCACAGCCATTTGCTTCCATGCAGGTCTGAAGCCTGTGTGCTGTGCAAAGGGTGCAGCTCCTATTTAAACCTAACTTCAGGGATCCTTACTGACTCACTGGAAAAGAGGGAGAAGCTGGGTGCCTGGGAGATGTGGCTGCAGATCAAGGGCTGGCCGTGCAAGCGTGAGGAGCTGAGTTGGGATCTCCTGTGCTCGGATGAAAGCTTCAAGTGGTGGGGTGGAGACAAGCGGTGGGGCGGAGACAAGCGGTGGGGCGGAGACAAGTGGATCTCATGCTCCACCAGCAGGTAGTCTAGGGAAAGCGGTGAGCTCCAGGTTCAGTGAGAGACCCTGTCTCAAGAATAGGGTGAAGACTGATGGGGGAAGACACGCGAGATCAATCTCTGGCCTCTACATGTGCACACTGGAGTGGGCGCATCGCTACGCTCATGTGCACACACATACATATACAACAGACAGACACACGCTTGTGTGTGTGCATGCGCGCAGAGCGAAGACAATGAGTTTATATTACTAGAGACTAACAACAGCACCTCCTCCTACATGACCTTGATATATACCACATTAAAACATTCAAAATAAAACTTAAAAACTCGTCACCTACCTGATGAACCCTTTCAGTTCTTAGACTTTGAAAGACTCATCAGAGAGCAATATGACACACACACACACACACACACACACACACACACACACACACACACAGCCTTTGGTCCTTGGTATCTCCACCAAAGGTCCTTTACAAACATTCTCTGTTTTAAAACTTTGCACTTTGCATCCCAGATTTCATTTCCCATCCCCAGGAAGGCAAGAGGAACCCAGTACGCAGTGTTTAGCAGGCCAATTGCCTTGTGAGGGGCAGCCTGACCCTGGGCCCAGGGGTGAGGGAGGATACTGGCAGAGAGGAACAGGTGTATGCTACCTGGCTGTAATCAAGAGTGCCAACACTTCCTCTCCGATACCCTCCACATCTACCACCAGCGCCAGCTCGTATTTCTGCACGGTGTTGGAGCACAAGGTCACCTGGGAAGAAAAAGGTGACACATTGCTGCTCTGAAAGGCTAGCTCTCTGTATGGGGGAGCCGGGAGCCGGGGGAGAACACTTGCGTCAGCGCGGTTTCTAAGTGTCCTGTTTCGTTAGATGGACGGTGTTTTACACTGAACGAGTTACATTATAGGGTCAGGCCATGGTGGATGTTTTCGTACACTGGGTTAGACTCAGTGTTAGCATAATAGGCTGGCTCATTTCTGGGGTGAAAGGGGAAGATGGCCATAGATGGTGAGAGACTTCAAAAATATCAGACAGACTTTAATTATTGCTGTTTAAATTGTCCCTTATGCTACTGGGCGCTAACTAAATGACCAAACTTCAGTACAACTGAGAAAACAGTACAGTGAATTTTTTCTTACATCGAAGGGAAATGAAAATAACTACATATACTTTAGAAACTTGCAGGGGCAATCCGTTTTTTCAAACTAAAAATTTGTCTCCCCTTTCCATTTTAGCAGAAAAATAGAAAGGTCCAAAGCCAGGACCACCTGAGGACAGTCTCTGCCCAGAACATTCTCCCCTATGTTTGTATTTACTGCTGTGAAACTTTGTCTTTAGGCTCTCTGAAAGCCTTGTTACAACTTTTAATTGCTTCAAAATGATTTCGACTGGAAATGATACTTGTTAGTTTGGAAAACAGCTTCTGGCATGGGCTAAGGGTTTTCTGCCTATAAATTATGTATTGGGTACTAATTAAAATCTTTTTGGTGGCAGAGGGAATTGCTGCATGCAAATTTGAGTCCACACAGACCTGGCTGAAAGTGCAGATCAGGAAGGGAAGCTGAAGCACAGAGGGAGGGGTTTTGTTTTGTTTTGTTTTGCCAAAAATACATAAAAAAATAAAAAGGAAGGCATTGATTTGGAAAGAAAAATTGTCTGGCTCAGAGAAAAGCTAAGGTGTTGGCATGATTGAACTCCTTTGTTTATGTATTGGGCTTGAGGTCAGTAGGAAGAAAGCTAACCAGGAGGCTGGTGGGGAGAAAACTGTCTTTAGGCACTCCTGTGTCTCCAGGAGTAAAAGTACATACAGATCATGTGGAGGCTGAGGAGCAAATGAAAAGTAAATCCACTGTGGCTAAGCTCCTTCCAGGAAAAGTCAGTTAGCCATCTCTGGAGAGAACATAACGATGGAGCGAGCTTCTCTAGACCCCTGGAGAAGACCATGGAAGGGCTGAACATTCCCAGAAAAAGAGTTAAAATGAATAGATCTGAGGTGAGAGATTAAAAAGCACCTCAAACAAATCTGGGGATGAAACAGTGGCTAGATTGAATAAATATCCAATGATAATATCTACAGAAGTAGCCATTTTAGCTGTGAAGTCGTTCCTTCCCAGAAACCATTACTTCAGTTCCTCAGCCTTCCCTTTTGCAAGATCCCGGTGTCTGGAGAAGCAAAGGTGAGGGAGACATCTGAAGCCCTTCTCCATTAACTATGAAGTAACCCTGCTGCTGGGCACCATGAGGTGTCACGAATGCCACTGCACTGGTCTGATTTCAGACCAAACCTAGGGAGACAATAGGGTGCTGGGCAGCCTTCGCACCCCTCTTCCTGTGGACTTAAATACAAAGCTCTAGTGGAAGGATATGTGGCACCCACATTTGCCAGGACCCAGATTTATACTGTAAACCTGAATGACCTAGCTGTCACCTTGGCATAAGCCCGGATGTTTATGGTTGTGGAGGGCCTGACTCTGAAGCCAGATTCTGAGTTCTTCCACTCTTCTGTTAGAGCCAATGGGTGCATTGTCTGTATGGAACAGTGATGGCACTAGAAATAGCTAGAAGCCACAGCTCCCTGGAAGACACTGGTTCTGCATTCATGTTGGACCCAGTGAATGTATGTTTAACTGGGGTGTAACTGGTCTGGTGGGAACAAGGTTATTCTAAAGAGACACTTGTGTCCTCCTTTTGGCCGTTAGACTATCGAAACAGTAGTTTCCAAGATATTGGAGTCCATTTCCCCGTCAGCTCCTGGAATCTCAAGCTGGAGAAGGAGAAAGCTCTTTTTGCCTGGGAAGAGATCTTACCTGGTTCCAACAATTGGTCAGATTACCTCTGAGGAGAGGCTAGAGCTGAGATCGTGATGATGAATGGGCTCATATCCAGACCAGAATTGCTCTACTTAAACCAAATCTCATGTCAGGACCCCAAGAAGACTGGGAGCAGGGGCCACTGGATATTTTTGTTCCTCTTTCTGTGGTGCAAGTTTGTCTCTCTACTTGGCTTATTGAGGACTGGCTAGCAGAGTCTCCAACCTTAGGGATACCAGTGACCTGAGCAATTTGAATTTCTTTGCCCAACCTATTTGCATCTGATTCTGTGGTCTTAAAAGCTTGTTCCCTATAGGCCCAGTTTTGCATGTGGTTCCCTGGCATTCCCTATCACTGTCCTTGGGCAGAGAACCCTAGGTGACGTATCAGTGGCTATCTGAAAGGTGGTGGATGTTTGGCTGTGTGTGCTGACAGCCGTGCACCTTACCTTGATGGCAGAAAAGCCCTGGGCACGGATGGTGCCACTGTTGGGAGAGATGGTGAATTCTTTGGGTTTCGTTGTGGATATTTCTGTATTAACCCAGGACCGTCGTTTGCTGTCTGACTCCTGAGAGTAACTTGGGATACTATTCATGCCTTCGCCATCACCGCGGACACGCAGTTTGAAGGTCATGGGGACCAAAGATGTATTATTGAGGGAACATATCAAAGTATGGGGAAATCCTGGAAAACAAAGTTTGAGGTGAGAAAGACTTCTTTCCCCCAGTAGCCTCCCTTGGCCAACAAATCTCCTCTAGCAATGACTTAGGATTGCGTATGTAATTTATTACTATGTCTCATAACCTTCTAACTTGTCTTAAGTATATATATGTGTGTATGTATGTACATACATATGTATGTATGCATGAATATATGTGTGTATGTGTATGTATGCATGTGTATGTATGCATGTGTATGTATGTGTGTGTATTGATTGTTTGATTGTATGTGGGGGGTGTATGTGTACAGGTCAGAGGTCAATATCAGGTGTCTTCCTTTTTACACTTTAGTTTTTTGACTCAGGGTCTCTCTCCGAGCCTGGGGTTTCCTGGTTTGGTGAGACTGGCTGTCCAGCAAAGTTCAAGGATCCTCTTGTCTCTCCCTCTCCAAATTTAATATTGTAAGTATGCCCCACTGCATCCAGATAGTTCACGTGGGCTGATCAATCTCTGGGAGATCAATCTCAGGTTCCATTGCTCTCCTGGCACTTCAGTGTCTCAGCTGCATCCCCAGACCATCTTTAAAACTTTTTTTTAATGTATGTACAAACTAATGGGTTCACTGTGACATCTTTATCTCCACAGATGTGTGTCTCATCGCCATTCCCTGTTAGCTCTTTAAATTCTCAGTCATACATCAGGACATATACTTCATCCATTCCTGAATTAACTAAAGAATATTTATCACGCATTTAGTCATGCAGGTTAAACAGTAATATAAAACAAGGCCCTCGGTTGTCATCCAGGCCCATCTAAAGAGGCAGCCTCGACTGTTGGTTATGGTGAGTTGTCTTGTAGAAGTGTATTCTGCCTTTAATCTCTGAGTCAAATGCAGATTTTTAAAATATAGGGTCATACTCAGTCTTGTTTGCCAATGCATGAAAGGAGAAGCCTACATACCTTTGTCTGCTGTTTGATCTAGAACATGCCAAGAGGTGACAAATTTGTACTGTTTCTTTCTGAGAACCATGCTCCCAGGACTCGTGACATAGGATATGATAATAGACCCTCCCAGGAAAGACTCGGTGACCTGAGTTAGGACCAGCCAGAGATTAAGACTAATTCACCACCCCCTAGTCTCGTGTCAGGTTATATTCAGCCTGTTGGCTTCTGTTTGGTGAGACTCACATCCCTTTTGTAAGAGATGTAGGTCTCCTTTGCTGGGAAAGCAATAAATAGACGCTTGGCTGGATTTCCTGGGTGGCTGTTAAGTTGCTGTCACTTTTAGATCAAGAATAACCACAGGATAATTGACAAGCTTCTTCTAGATACAGCATCAAGTTTTCTGCCTCAAACCACCTTCTCTTAGAAACCCCAGAGAAACTGGTGGAGGCTCATCTTCATAATCATGTAATTGCTATGTTGGAGTCTTCATATATTGCCCAATAATGACTCTGAACACTACTTACCTTACCTCGCCATTATGAGTTAGATGGTCTACTAATATAGGCTCTTAAGAAAAGTGGATTCCATAGTCACATGGTCCTCCAAACAACTGCCCAGACCAATTCCCTTAGCCAGAAAATGTTCACAGAATAAAACTCATTAAACTTACTCAAAAACAGTTCCTCATACTAGTGCCTGAGCTGCCCCCTACCCTTCACAGAGGCTCAGGAGGGGTTGCTGGCTTGTTAAAGATGGAATGGTTGCTGGTATGAATGCTATGCCTAGCCTTCTGCCCCCCCCCATTCCATCTCCAGTCTGTTCTATCTACAGTCCTACCTGAATGAAAGTATATTACAGTTCTCAACATCTGTATCCTTTCCAGTTAGCATCTGTAGGTTAGGATACTTAATTAACAACAATTGGACAGAATGATCAGGGATTCGCTGAGGCAGTTTATACTTCTTCCTATACTCAAACGCTGACTTGAAGGACAGCATTCTCAAAAGATTTAATCCTCCTTCAACATTGATATTTTTATCTGACCCCAAAAAGCCCATTAAGAAATTCATTCTAAAAACAAAAGAAAATAAAACAAACAAACAAACAACAAAACCCAGCACTTTCTTGGGGCTAAGATGGCAAGATGGCTCAGTGGTTAAGATCACCAACTACTTTTGCCAGGACCCAAGTTTGATTTCTAGCAAACAAAAGGCAGCTCACAATCATCTGTAACTTCAGGTCCAGGGGATATGACATCCTCTTCTGGCCTTTACTGCACACTGCATGCACATGGTATGCTTACATACATGCAGGCAAAACACCTATAACACATAAAATAAAAATAAATAAATCTGAATAAAGATGTCTGTTTGTCTGTCTGGATCTCTCTGTTGCCGGGACTGGGATCCAGGGCCTTGAGGATGCAAGTATTCTACCACTGCGCAGAATCTTCACTCATAAGACTTCTTGAAGAAACAAGAAGCTATAGATCACAAGACCACATGGAAGCAGCAACGGAGTCTTCAAAACATTGATGTGTGGGGGGCACAAGTTCATTACTAAACAGCGGGCCCCCTAATGAAGACGCTACACCGATTCAGTAATGTGCATGACCAATAATTAAATGACATTGGAGAGACTTCTGGAAGTTTGTGGTAGGTTTTAGATGAGAGAATCCCAGTGTTTCTAGGAAGCTAAGAATCTTCATGAAGCAGAGGGAAATACGTGGGTAGGTTGTTTTGCAAATGTAGTTACTCAGAGAAAGCATTCAGAATACAGGAGATATATAATCTGGGGAAAGTTTATATATACCTAGATCATGTACTTTATACAGTACAATGCATGTGGTGGTCATCATATAGTATTTTCTGAACAATTAAAATTCTCCTATCACCAGATGCAAAGCAACTGACAAACACATTACAAATAGGTTTTTGCCTAAAGAACTATTTTCCCCCACAGTGGGTGGTTCCATTCAACCTGAAGCAAGACAAAGAGGAAACAGCGAGACGGACTGTGAAGAATAGAGATATGCAGTTAAACACACATTTCACAATCTGGACTTTTCCTATTATCACCTTCTAGGTAGAAGGGCTAATTAATTTCAAATCAAAACAAATTAACCTACTAAATACACTTTAAATTCTCTTTCTCAAGTGAAATTCTATACTAAGGAATACGATTTGGCTACATAGGCTAGGACACAGAAAGATCATAAATGCTATGAGCTTCTTTTTGTAATCATCCAAGGACCAAATTTTGCCACACTGGGGCGAGATCCCAGTTGAAAGCAGCTCCCAAAACAAACAGCAGTTTCGTCAATACTTCGTGATGTTGGCAAATCATTTGGCAGTCTCAGGGTTCTGCTTTTGATTATCTAAACTGACTGCACCTCTGGGAAGGATTGCTGGCTTCAAGCACAACACTGCATGCCCTGGACCTAGCAGTGAAAAGCCACAAGAAACAAACAAGGAAGATACTGTTTGCTGCTGCTGCTACTGCTGCTGCTGCTGTTGCTGCTGCTGCTTCTGCTGCTCCTACTGCTGCTGCTGCTGCTGCTTTGGTTGGCGTTTTTATCAGTTGATAAATACAGACAGGGAGAAATGGGACAGACATCAGGTGAGATGACAACACAGATGGAACATCCTTCAACCTGGAGCAATAGAACCCTGGAGTCGAACCACATGGCCTCAGTTCAACCCCAGAGCATCTCTCTAAGGAGTGTGCTGTGCAGCCAGATGAGCAAATCAGAATTTGCATTTAGATAAAGGACAGGTCTGGGAGTTTTGTGTGCACTGATAGAGTTCTTGCCTGATATACACAAAACCATGGGTTTGATAACCAGCACTGTCAGAAAGCAAAACAAAATCACCAACTTGTCACTACTATGACCATGGCCTCCCAATCCCAAGTACGAAGAGGACAGAATGTCCAGACAGTGAAATGATACATGAGGTTGCGGGTGTCGATGGCTGGAAAAAGAGTGACAGCCATAGCTTTGCAGCACTTAGTGCCCAGGACCTAATACCGCCAAAAATGACTTTGATGCAGAGGAAGGGATCCTCTTGACTAGCTATTAGAAATGGTAAGCGAGCTGCTTTGTAAACCTTCCTTCTCCTGAGTAGAGACCAAGAAATACTGTATCCAATTTCTAAACTTAAAATGGGGGAATGGCTTAGTTGGTGTGTTAGTTAGCATTCGAATGCTGTGGCAAACACCATGGCCAAAAGCAGTGTGGGGAGGACAGGGTTTATTTGGCTTACACGTCCAGGTAACAGCCCATCATGGAAGGAGGTCAGGGCAAGAACTCAAGGGGGAACCTGGAGGCAGGCACTGAAGCAGAGAGCATGGTAGGATGCTTCTTACTGGACTGGTTTGCTCTCCTTGGCTTGCTCAGCCTGTTCTTTTATAAACCCAGGGTCATCTTCCCAGGGGTTGGCACCAATGGGCTCTCCAAAGCCAATAATTAACTGAGAAAAAAATGCCCCAGGGGCTTGCCTACAGGCCAATCTGATGGAAACATTTTTCTCAATTAAAGTTCCCTTTTCCAAGATGACCTCAACTTGTGTCAAGTTAATATAAAATTAGCCAGAATGCTTTGCAAGCATGAGGATCTGAGCATGATCCCTGGCACTTACATGGAAAGACAGGTGTGGTGGCATGTACTTGTAGTCCCAAATGCTGGGGAGACAGGGTCAGGAGGGTCTATTCGGAGACACTATGACCACAGCAACTCTTATAAAGGAAAACATTAAATTGAGGAGGGTTTATAATTCAGAGATTTAGTCCATTATTGTCATGATGGGAAGCATGGTGGTGTGTAGGCAGACATGGTGCTGGAGAAGAAGCTAGGAGTTCTACATCTGGATTCACAGGCAGTAGGAAGAGAATATGATCCATTAGGCTTAGCTTAAGTTTCTGTGACCTCAGAGCCTACCCCCATGAGACAAACTTCCTCCAACAAAGCCAAACCTACTATAAGAAGGCTATGCCTCCTAATAGTGCCACTCCCTACGGACCAAGCATTCAAACACACAAGTCTCTGTGGGCCATTCCTATTCAAAACACAACACTGGGGCTCACTGGCCAGCAGCCTAGTCTAATTGTTGAGCTCCAGACCAATGGAGGAGATGACAAGGAGGATGATGGTATTTTTAGGAGTGACACTCAAGATTATCCTCCAGATTCTGTTGCAGGATATTTGATCATACCATGAATCCCAAGGTTGTGTTACTTGCTGAAAAAGAAAAAACCTTGTTCTAGTTGTGGTGTGGCTCCGCCTTTAGCACACACCTTTAATCCCTCTGGCTGGAATACAGACACACCCTTAGTACACATCTTTAATCCCAAACAATGAAGGTGAAGCTAAATGTGTAGAAGGAAGCACCCATGTTTGAAAGTGATGTCTAATTGAGTGGCAGACAAAGTGACAAATCAGAAAAAGATTTGACAAAATAGGGAAGCTACTTAAGAGCACAGTGTGAAGAGAGAGGGGGAGGGAGGGAGGGAAGGAGACAGTTTTACCAGGACAGTTGTACAGAGACAGGTTGAAGAGAGAACGAGGTAGACACAAGTGAAGACAGAGCGAGCCACAGAATGAGGAGCAAGAAGACTAGAACAGATTGCTAGAGTTAATTTAAAGCCAATTCAGTGAGAAGCCAAGAGAGAAGCCAGATTGAATCAGTCAGTTTAGAGAAGAGTTGGGGCCAGAACAACTGAGTTGGACAACTCTGAAGCCAGAGTTCAGAAAGAGCTAGAAAGGGTGAGCTTATTCAGCAGTAAGTCCCAGAGGCTGAAAACATTCTAGGCCTAGATTAGCTTGTACAGAGGCTAGAAGCTTCCAGGAGTAGGCCTAGCTTAGCAGACAGCTGCAACAAGCCTTGGAGACGACATTTACAACAGGCAAATAGAAAGTACGATTACAAGATTCCACATGTGTACACACACACACACACACACACACACACACACAAAGAAAGAAAGAAAAAAGAAAACGTTACTCACCATAGGAAACATTCCCAAAGTGCAGAGCAGGGACATTGAAGTGGAATGTTGGTCCAATTACACAGCCTCTGGAAGTCAGACACAAATTGGGGAAATAGGGAATGAGTCGAGGTAATGGTCAGAACCGGGAAGGGAACACACACACAATGAACAAATCTTGGTGTGAGGTCAGTGGCAGAGTCTAAGGGGCCATAATACGACAAGCCATTACAGTAGCCATTGTAGTCATTTTTCAGAGTGTGTGTAGTATATCTTGGTGGGCTCAGGGCCTGTGTGCAAGAGTTCGCATGAGAGTATGGAACCCTAGCACCTTTATGAAGCTGAGCAAGCATGGGGGGTCACTTGTAATATCAGCACTCAGGAGGCGGAGATAGGGAGTCTTTGGGGCATGACTGTTCAGACTAACTAGAGTAGTCTTCAGGTTCAGTGAGAGACATGACTCATCAAATAAAGCAGAGGGTGATTGAGGAACACACTGACTGTCTCGTTGGGCCTCCACATATGTGTGCTCATGTGTGTCCACACACATGGGAACATGAATACATACACTTGCTTACCACACACTCATACACAAAAAAGGTTTCCAGGTCTCAAACTCTATGTTTTATTAAATGACTATGCTTAGTATATATAACCAGTGGCCATGGAATAGGCAGCCATTTCACCAAACTAATGCTTCAAAATATAGTTAACTTGGATGAATCATATACTCTGTAATCAACTCATCGAGAAACAGAAATTGGGAGAGATGGCTCAGGGGTTAGGAGCATGTACTGACTGCTCTTGCAGAGGACTGGGATCTAGCTCCCAGCACCCACATAAGTCTATAACTTCAGGCCCAGGGAATCGTATGCCTTCTTCAGACTTCTGGGCATTTTTACTCATATGTGCACAGGTCCCTCCCCATCACAAATACACATAATTAAAGATAAAATAAATAGTTAAGAAATACATAAAACGCATACTGGGTTTTTGAAAATGTCCTCCTTGTGAGCTAGCTTTTGTAGTGTTGGAAAGTGCTATGCAGGCCACTAGGAAGAAAAATTATCAGTCTTACTCAACAGTGAATCCTGTATACAAAAACCCCTAACCTGACAAGCAAGATATGCTCACTGGTACAGTGGTGGCATGACTGTTAGGGAGGTAACCAATGAGTTTTGGGTTGGATTTTAAGCTAGTTCCACAGGATAAAATTCATATCTGGTACTGTGAACTTGGTAAAAAAAAAAATCTCATGGTTGGAGAGGTCCTAGGCCATAGGTAGGAACCAGCTATTGTTGTTTTACGAAATAGAGATGTTGTAAAACTACCTTCCAAATACTCTACTTAAATACTAATACTTACACCCATAGATTAGTGCTGCACCAACACTGGACAGAGAGAAGGGGTAGCCTTGAGAAGTTGCAAAAGCTTGGGGAATGGATTCCTTCCTGGGGCTTCCAGAAAGACTCGTAGGTCTACCATCACCTTGAATTTGACTCAGTTAAGACCAGTGTTGAGCTTCTAATCTATTGATCTCTAAAATAATAAATCTATATTGTTTTAATCTACTAAATTTGTGGTAATCGTTTACAACAGCCAAAGAACGCTTCCATGGCGGGCATTCTTGTTTACTGGTTAAGCAGTAATCATTGTTCTCTATAATCAATATCTTTTAAAATGACAGCAAAGGTAAGGGCTGAATGATTTTTCCATATACGTGGCGAAGTTTTAAATGTTCGAGACACACAGAGACCTGTTATGCCCCATGCACCACGCTGGAGCCTTAGCATTACAGGTGGCTGCTGCAGAAGTGGCTCTAATGGGCTGAGGCTTCTGTGGAGAAGTGGAGGGTGACCACAGCCAAGACTCAACGTGACAAGCTGCAAGTCTAAAATCTGCTCTCACGACCGTCTCATGCCGATGATTTCCAAAAGCCTGTCTGGTACTCAGCAGGCTGTGGGGATCCAACTGAGAGTGAAGGCAAAGAGGCTCACGACTTATCTACTTGAGTTGGAAAAGACAGTTTTTGGGGCCAGAGTAACAAGTAGATCAAAAAGTCTATGAAATCAGCAGGGATAAAAGGAAGTAGGAAAAGAGCAGGGGGAACTGCATAAAGTCGTCGTTTAATCAGTGCAGAAGCTGAAAGGCATGGAGATAAATCACCGGCAATCAAAGGCTCTGGTCACCGAGAGAACTGTGACTAAACGATGCCACCTGGATGTGGATGTGGCCACATGAATTCTAACAGGATATTACCCAGCCATCCAGCAATGTGATAACCTGCTAATGGGATCATTTCAAAGACTAAGACTGATTGGATTAGCATGCAAGGGAGAGACAATTTAAATTGCCAAGCTCATCCACGCAATAGCTAAAACTTTATAAAATTACATATGCCAGAAAACAGAGAGAAAGAGAGAGAGAGAGAGAGAGAGAGAGAGCGAGCGAGCAAGATTGCTCACTGGGATATGATTGAAAGACACTTCAGTTTCATATCATAGCTTATCCAATCACTAAAAATATTGTGTCATGTAATTAAAAGATCATTAGAAACAGCAAACATGTATTTGTTCTCTTATAAGGTATTCCAGTCCAAAATACGTAGAGTCCAGAACAGGGCACCTGACAATAAAAGAAGAAGAAAAATTCTAGAATTCACACTATTAACTTCATAGGTATTTCTTCAGACAGAGACCTTACGAAAGGCTTTATCCACCCAAGTAATGTGTGAAGCCGTAATAACAACACAGGGCTGGAAACATAATCTTGTGTGCATTATTTTCCTCTAACTAGACGTTTGCTTGTGGTCCCAGTGGCTCCTGGGTTTCCTGAATCACTGTGCATAGTTTAAAGTGCTAGAATACTTTCAAACACATGCGTCATTCAGCGAGAGGAGGTGAAGTGGCAAGGAAAGCTATGTAGGAGTTTTTTCCTCTCTTAGTGACTTGTAATCTGTTTAGGGACAAAGCCCCAAGCCTTCTTTGCACAACTGAGTTTTCCTTTTCATTGAGAGAAATCAAAATAAACATTAAACAGACAGTGGAGTGGAGAGCTTAGAAACTTGGGGGAAATGGTCCAAAGGTAGGGGAGGGAGGAGGAAAAAGAGAGAAAGAGAGACAGACAGAGAGAGACTTAACTTCTGGAGAGCAATTGAGGTTTTAATCCAAGTTTGCTTATGAGACTGTGAAATCCTACTATGCATAGTAGAGAACCCCAGGTTACCTTAACTGTCTATTCACTGCTAGTGACACAAACTTCTACTTTGAGATACTGAGAAGATATTTAGGACTGCTCCCCCACCCCAGCTCCCAGGGACTAAACCACCAATTAAAGAGTACACATGGAGGGACCCATGGCTCCAGCTGCATATGTGGCAGAGGATTGCCTTATCTGTCATCAGTGGGTGGACAGGCCCTTGGTCCTGTGAAGGATCAATCCCCCAGCATATAGGAATGCTAGAGTGGTGAGGTGGGAGTGGGAGGGTGGGGGAGTTCTCTCATAGAAGCAGGGGTAGGAGGTAGGAGGATAGTGGAGGGGAAATTGGGAAGGCGGATAATATTTGAAATATAAAATTTCATGAATAGATGTATCGTATTTTGCTTATCTTTGCCCAGTATGAATGATGATGTTATAAACATCATTCATGTACATATGCTGATAGAATTGTCGGGCCAATGTTCATTTATTTCAGGTGAGGACAGGACTATTATTTATACTGGCTGCAATGTCTTATGTTTCCATCTGTATTCATTTGTTCTCCCGTTGCCGTGACACGTGACACAATATCTGTGCGAAGAGCAACTTAAAAAAGGGGGAGGGTTATTTTGGCTCACAGTTTAAGGCCACAGTCCGCCATGGTGGGGAAGGCATGACAGCAGGGACACATTACATCTGCAGTTAAGGATCTTTCTCCATCTCACTCAGCCTGAGATCCCAGCCCAGTTAGACTGGGTCTTCTCACCTAAATAAATGCAATCGAGAAACTCTACCACAGACAAGTCCAGAGGTTTTTCTCTTAGGTAATTCTAGGTCCTGTCAAGTTGATTGTCAACACTAACCATCATGCCACCGTCACATGCACACTCTAATGGTCCAAATTCTCACCAATGTTCATTTTCCATTCTGTTGCCTATGGCCAACTACACGATGGTGTGGTGGATTTTCTTGATACACATCTCCCTAGCTGTGATTTGCTCAGACCTCCATCTTTTTTGAGATAAAAGCTCGGTGTAGTTCTAAATTTCATTATTTATCTTCTTCTCATTCATTGTATCTGTACATATTGGTTAGAAGTCCCTTATTAGATTCGTGAATTGCAAATACAGTCTCCCACTCAGCTTGGTAGCGCACTTTGAAGCACAAAGCTTCTTACGTTTTGTTGAAGACTACTTTATTTATTTATTTGCCTTTGCTTGCTTTGTGCTTAGGTGTCTTGTCTGAGACACCACTGTCTAATCCAAAGCCGTGCATATTTATGTGTGCTTGCTGTGAGCAGCCTCATAGCATTGGCTCTTGAGTTTGGGTCTCTGATTTATGCTGAGGAAATTTCTGTGTATTATTATTAAGCTTTTGATCTCTTTTCCTTTTTAAATCACAGAACACTGGTGGGTTTTGGCAAATGCCCTTCTGTATGTGCTCAGATAATTATTTGGATTTCTCTTTTATTTTGTGATAGTATACGTTACTAATGTTATGTCATGCTGGCTTATTTTCCTATGTGACCCAGCCTTGACTTTCTGGGGTAAAATCTATCTGATCCTGGTGTTTCATCTTTTTATAGGTTGGTTTGGTGGTTTATTGTTAAGGATTATTGTTGTCTACATTCATAAAGGCTATCCTTTGTCTTAAACTCACAAAAGAGTAGATCTGTAAGCATCTGCACTATGGTTTTGGGTGGAAGCATGTTGGTTTCTGGATATTGTTAGAGGGTATGATTCTTGACAACACATTTTGATATCAAGAAGTCAGAAAGTTTGACCCAAGAACTTGGAGAATTGATCTGCTGGAGATGATAAAGGACTCTCAAGGGACCAGATAGACAGCTTGCCATGAGGTGTGAGGTGTGAGTTGTGAGTTGTTATGAACATAAGAAATTGGCTGATTGCTCATGCTGTGGGAAGGTGTTCCCCCCTCCTTCTCATATGGCACAGATGCTGAAGGATGTAAATCATGGGTCAGTGTAAGTCTGCTGCACCTTCTGGGGGAGTCTGTGCTTTCAACTATTTGGAAACAACTCTAATTTTTAATCGTTTTTTAGAGATAGGGTCTCATGGAGCCCAGGTTGATGTCAATCCTGCCATGTAGCTAAAGAAGATCATGAACTAATCCTTCTGCCTCTACCTTCCAAGTACTGGGATGACAGACATGCAACACCATGCCTGAATGGATTCCTAATATTATAACAAACATAGATGATTGAAGGGGAAATTATAGATGTCTTGAGAGTGTTTCAGATAAAACTTGAGATTTTAAGAAAATCCTAATTGTGATGGGCTAAGTCCCCAGGCATGGTATGAGGTATGGCCATTTGCCCTCATTAGTTATTGGGGACTGTCTGCAACAACAACAACAACAAAACAACAACAACAACAACAACAACAACAACAGTAACCGCCACCAAAAACTGAACAGCAAATGATAGAAATTCATTTCTGTCCTTGGAAGAGTGGGCCTTGGCAATAGTTGTTTTTTTCCAAGGGCTTCTTCTGCCTTTAGCTATAGATGGTATCTCTACTTTGTGTCTTCTGTATGTTTATGCCCTAATCTTCACTTCTAACCCACTTCTATTGGATTACACTCCACCTCTATGACCTCATCTTAGCTTAATTACCTACTTAAGGATCTCATCTCCAAGAACAGTCACATTCTGAGATGCTAAGACTCAATATCTGAAAGTCTGGGATAAAAGCCTATGGGCTGATTTCGAGATTCCAAATTTCTAGTAGATGTCATGAGATCAATACTTAAAAACAAAAACAAAAACAAACCACATCATGCCTTTCTTTCCTGTGCTATCCAAGGCTCCAAGAGATACATTGATTTGTTGAAGGATAGGAACTGTTATCAGTAACCATAAGAGAGACTTTCATGTATTTAAAGAACCTCTTGTGACTGGCATCCAGAGTCAAGGTGATGTATTTTGAAGGTGTGATCTTTCTATTTGGGAGAAATTGTCTTTTTAAACTGCAGTGGTCAATATCATCCTGATGGGTTACAAAAACAGATTTTTTTTCAAAACCCAAGGACAAATTCTATTCTCTGTGACTATCAGTTACCACAAACAATGGGGAAAGCCCTCAACAGATTTCTATCATAAAACTTTAAGAGTCTGGCCTTGGCAAACAGACTAATAAGTGGTCACTTTTGCAGTGCTTGAGAGCATTATAAATAAGACAGTTTACAGACTTTCCACATGATAAAAACAAATGACAAAGGTTCAGAGAAACTGAAAATAGACAAAGCTCTTGTCAACAAGACAGGTTGATTCAGAGACTACCACAATAACTCATTTTCTCCAAACAGCTTAAAACACAGGGTGTGGTCTACACAACATCATGGGGGACATGCCCAATCTCATTTGGTCTCAGAAGCCCAGAAGGGTCTGGCCTGATTAGCACTTGGATTGGAAACCACAGAGTGTAACTAGGAGTCAATATTTAAGCCAGTGGTTCTCAACCTTCCTAATGCTGTGATCCTTTAGTAAGTACCTCATGTTATGGTGACCCGCAGCCATAAAGTTATTTCATGGCTACTTCATAACTATAGTTTTGCTACTCCTATGAATTGTGATGTAAATATTTGATATGTAGGATATCTGGTATGCCACCTTCAAAGGACTCATGACCCACAGGTTGAGAACTACTGGTTTAAATTCTTATTTGATAGGTTACAACTTACAGGAAAACCAGATGTCAAGATAGTGTATCTGCACCCATGTTACAAGGACATCTGATATGGAAAGAAACATTGGTGGACATTTAAGACATCCCACTGTGCTGAGGGTTCATATCACCAGACAATTATGAACATCTCTACTCTTTGAGGCTCTAGAAAGCAGAAGGGAAAACTCCAGACAGTTTCTACCTTAGTTACGAATGTACCTTACCTAATGGTCAGTTTCACAGGATTAGGGGACCCGTTGACATCGATCAGGAACTCTTCTTCGAAGTGCCCCAGGATGGTAGAACTGAAGGAGATCTGGACAGCTTGGACCCCACTCGGTTCAATGATGCCTTCTTTAGGATTGAAAACAAAGCAGGCCCCCAAGGCTGAAGTTGGAGGGATGACATTGAAGAGGGCATCGATGCTGCCTTTGTTGGATAGGATCGCCTGTAAATTGGGCAAAGTCAAACATGGTCAGGTCCAGGGAACTGAGGTCAGTTTTCATGTAAATACATGAAAGTAACCACAAAAAGGTAGACCATTCTTTCACGTGCATGAAGAAACTACGGTTAAGTGTAGGCTGTAAAAGAAGAAAGCAAGTCAGAATGGAGCAGCACCAACTGCCTGAGCCTGTGCCTGTCATGGAGCTCGGAGACTGCAAATCAAATGTCACTGGGGACTCTAGATGATGAGGGTACCTTCTGCAGAGCTGTAAGAGTTCATCTTCCTGGGATGTGTTCATCTCAAACACCATTGGATGGGTGGCTATTTGGGGATTCTTATGCAAGCAATCATTTTACTACAGATGCTTTATTCCTGTATGCTAATGTCCTGGTACCATGCTATTGCCCATATCTGATTGCACCATAGCTCTGAGTGTGCATGTGAGGAGCTCACGCCTGGTGTGCAGAGTCCTCCAGAGCTGGCCTTCGTTTGCTGTTCCCACCCACGCCTCACCAGTAGTGTGTATGAACCTATACTACAGTCACACTGTTCTATTCTGGGCCTGCAAAGATGTTCTTTGTCCCTTGACAATTCTGCCTTTACACCCAAAGGGTGACTAGCTTCCTCTCTTGATGTATAGGAACATCCCTTAATCTACACCCGAGACACTGGAGGTTCATCAAAGCGAGTTAGTTATCCTTCCTCTTTATACCACATGGAGTCTGGTCATAATTCTATCTATGGATGGAGACTCTTAGAATACCTCTTAAATGTTCTCTATAAGCAAGCAAAGAGGTGCACACACACGAGGAGGCTTAGGTTAAGTGAAAACTGAGAAGTGTCCAAAGACATTCAGAAACTTAGTAGGAAAACGTGAGGTACCCAAGGGGTGTGATGAGGAATGCTGGAACATGCTGGAAGCTAAGGAATGAGTTCTATAAACGTGAAATATGAACAGAGGTCAGCAGAAGGGGCTCTAGGAAATGAGCTCTGAGTCTTCTGTATAATGAGAAGTCACCCTGACCTTGAAGAGAGTGATTGTGATGGGGTGTGGTTACAGAACCAGAGGACAAATGTCCAGGGAGGGAGAGGCGAAGACGAGGCATAGTTGGCTATCTCCTGCTTTGGGTGCTGAAGGGTGAGGATGGGGTTGGCAGGAGGATGGGGTGTCTTAGAGGAGGGGAGTGTATGCAGTAATGTGAACCCAGCACCCTGTCTAGAGGAAGCCCCCACCACACCCCACGGCTCCTGTTGTTTTGTCAGGACAGTGCGATAGGTGGCCAAGGAGATCAGCTGTGGTTACAGGCTGAGGAGACTAAGCTCTGAGGCTCAGACTGCTCTGGACAGAAAACTGTGTCCTCCACAGAGGAACATAACTGCTTCTGCCAACGGCAGATAACCAGTGCAGCAAAACAAAACCATAAATAAGGTTGCTCACTGCCTGGCTCACCGTTTTATGTCTATTTCCAAACTTCCCCGTTCTAAGGTTCCCGGTAGTCCGAATCGTGCTTCCATCTTTTTCTCTTTTAAAGAGACCGCATAGAAAGATGATTATTTTTGCAGTCTGAAAGCCCGTCAGGTTCAAATCCCAGATTTGCATTTGACTCCCTAGCTAAGGAATTTTAGACAAACTCCCTAATTTCTTTGGGCCCCAACTTCCCCATCTGCCCTCTTCAACTTCCTATATTGTTAGGAGAGTAAATGTATTAATTTGTGTCATTGTAAAAAATAGTACCTGGCAACAGAGTTTACAAACGAAAGTGATACTTACATCCCTGCTTCCCAGAACTGTGGGCATAGAATTTACCTGCATTCAGAGGGTAGCTCACATATGCTAGTGGTAACTTGTAGGCTGCTCTTTTAAAAGAATACGTTTATTTACTCTTTGAAATGTTCTTAGGCATATACAATATGTCTTGATTATATGAACAACTCTGAACACCACTCTCTAAAGCAGAGGTTCTCAACCTGTGGGTCATCCTTTGGAGATCGAACAACCCTTTCATAGAGCTCTACTAGGACCACTGGAGGGCTGGGGAGATGGCTCAGTGGTTAAGAGCACTGACTGCTCTCCCAGAGGTCCTGAGTTCAAATCCCAGCAACCACATGTGGCTCACCACCATCTGTAATGGGATCTGATGCCCTCTTCTGGTGTGTCTGAAGAGAGGGACAGTGTACTCATATGAGATAAATAAATCTTTAAAAAAACCATTGGAAAACACAGATATTTACATTATGATTCATAACAGTATAAAAATAGAAAGAAAAATATTTTCTTGGGTGGGGGGTGGGGGCCACCACAACATGAGGAACTGTATTTAAGGGTCGCAGCACTAGGAAGGTTGAGGACCGCTGCTCTAAGCATTCATGGCCCTTTGCTGTTCTCTCTAGACACAAGTACAAACCCCTTTTGTCTGTTGCTTTATTGTTATTTGAGTAACATGGCTATCTTTCCCTGGTTTTCTGAACAGTGACAGTCTCTCTCTCTCTCTCTCTCTCTCTCTCTCTCGTGTGTGTGTGTGTGTGTGTGTGTGTGTGTGTGTGTGTGTGCGCGCGCGCGCGCGCTTTCCTGTGGGTATGTACCTGTGTATGCAGATGCATGCATGTCTGTGTGCCTGTGCATGTGGAGGCCAGAGATCACATCCAGTGCCCTCCTTAACTAGTCCCCACCTTATTCATTGACATAGAGTCTCTCACTAAGCCTGGCGCTCACTGACTGAGTAAGACTAGCTGGCTCGCCCAGGGATCTTCCTCTCTCCATCTCTTTAGCACTAGGATTACAGAGAAGTGCCACCGTGCCCGGGGTTTTACATGGGTACCAGGGATCTGACCTCAGTTCCTCATGCTTGCCTAGCAAGCATTTTACTGACAGAGGCATCTCCCAGCCCGTCCTCTACCTCAGAGAATATGATGTCATTCTCTTACTCCTGACAAACATCTATTACATCTATTCAGTATTTACAAATATTGAATCTAGCTGATAGTTTGGGACATGGTCCTGAGGCTCTTACCCCTGAGGTCCAACTCTTGGGAGAGGGGATCACTTCTAATTGAACCTCCTGTTGGTTTGCCCCTGGATTGCACTAGAGAATTCTGCATACTCTTGGGTATCATTTTTTTTTCCTTATGCATCCGCTGAGCTCAGCGGGGACTAAGGTCGGTAGCTAGTCATTCAAATTTCTCAAGGAGGTAATATAATAAATTAGGAGACTCAGTGGACCGTCAGTGTTGAAGATTCAGCATTGAAGATGCCGAGAGTGCAAAAATCTCCCTATAGAGGTACCTCACCACCTCCCTCTGCCGAGTTCACCACTGTCCAATCTGATGCCACACCTCACCGAACACTTGGCTGGCTGGGGTTTGCTCTGCAGTTAAAATCTGGGCATGTCTATTCAATTGCTAAAAAAAAAAATTATTATACGCAGGGAAACCATAGCTATTTTGCATTGGAACTAAATGTCTTTTCCTGGTGTGGCTTCCATAAAGTACAATCTGTAAGGTGTAAGGAGAATTCATGTGGGATAAATTACACAAGCAACATCAATGAATAAGAAATATCATTTTTTCCCTCAGCTTTGGAGACTCTTCTCTCAAGAGCGCACAGCACAGAATAATGTAGACGTTAGCTGTGTATGTAGCTCTCTCGTGTTTTAATAGTATTCAGGTGGTGTGCCTATGCAGCTCATCAATCCTGACATTAACATCTGTGTGCCTTTGCTTGGCCTCATACAGCTCAGTTTGCCCGGAGAGAGTGGGAATGAGGTGCCCTGTCTCCACACCATGTACACATTTCTCCTTGTAGATGTCGTCGACTTGGTGTGGAAAGATGGGGTGCTGGGAACTGCAGGACTGAAAGACCAGTAAAACACCCCCTATTCCCAGAGGGATCGGTGACTCAGTGCCCATGATATTATCAAGCTGAGTGGCTTGGCTAAGCTTCTTATACCTATGGCCGTTGGGGTTGCCACCCACTCCTTCTATACTGCCATCAGTGACTATATTCTCTGTCCTCCCCTGTAGACCCATACAGGTAATAGAATGCGATAGTGTTATGCTATCTGCAAGACCGTCTCCTTTAAATGTCTTATATTGCATTCTTCAGAGCTCTTTCCCCTTCAGCCAGCATGCTACAGGGGAGCCTTCAGTCTTGCAGCCGTGTGCTGGATGTGAATTGAAGGCTGTGGTTCTAGACTCTGCGCTGGAGGAAAGTGTCTGCTGAACCTTCACTCCGAGCTTTAGCTATCATTAACCTAAGTAGAACCTAAGCCCCAGCTTGCTTGCCCAGAAGTGGGAGGAGCAGCTGACCCTGCTCCACAGGCTTTCTGCAAGGACTGAGTGGAGACATTAGCCAAAGTGCCATGACTTTACCAGCATTATCAAACAACTGCTTGCACTACCTCGCTAAGATACAAACATTGACAATTTAGGAGCACCCTAAAACCAAGTTTCCATGGTAGCCACTTGCATATATGTGTCATATATACGAAGGCGTGGACCAATGCTGTGTAACTATAAGTTGATCCACAGAGTGACTTTGACTCTGAAGGACCCATAAGTTCGTACTGGAAAATTCTGGTTTCTGCTTAATTGGGAAGAGAGAGCACAACACTCTCCTTCGGAAAAGTGATGATTGGATTTTAAAACACAGATCAGGAGAGAGAGGATCAAGAGGAGACCCTGAAGTGTGAAAATCGCTATCCTCATTAGGACATTCTCGAAAATGCAAAAAGCTCTCTCTCCTCTGATCTGTAGGATTTATGTTGTCCCGGAACAAGCACTAGACAGATGGGGAGCTGTATTTATGGTTTTTCCCTCTGCTGTCTACAAATTGAGAAGGATAAAGCCAATTAAATGACAGTGCCGAGGAGCTTTAGTGTTTGACAAAATAGAAGAATGGGAGAAGAAATCCCACTTTGACTAGGAGAGAGGTTAGAATTGAGGCAGAAAATGTAAAAAGGAGGCAACCGAACCAAGTTTCTATCAAATAAAAAACACATCAAAAAAAAGCAGAGGACAAAAGCCAGGTACGGTTGGAAGCCCCAGGGAGCAGTGTCGGAACCCACCTCGTAACAGTGGGCAGATCCAACGAAAACTTTGCCAATGTCCAGTAATTCGAAGTTGAAGTGAATCTTGGGCCCCATTCCTTCTCCTCTGATTCGGAGGGGCAAGCGGATCTCTCGGCCTATAAAAAGCAATTCTGACTTTATTACCCCGGACAGTGCTTTATTATCCCAAACTACCCACAGCTTATTACCAACGTAAAGCACGGAGCTTCTTAAATAACCTCCAGTACCGTTCGGTACCGAGGGAACTACGGTTTAACTAAGGTGGAGGTCATCTCTTGTCTTTAGGAAACAGTAATATCGCTGGGTTCTTACCTTTAGCGAACAGCTTACATAGCAATTTGGGCTGACATTTTATCAGGGAAAAGACAATTAAGAAAGTTAACCTCTGGGTACAGAAAGGCAAATGCTACGTGTTCTCACTCCTGTGCAGATGCTAAAGCTGGCCCCATTGCAGCTGAGGGTAGAGGAACGATTACCTGAGGTGGAGGAGGGCAGAGAGCAGGGAGGGTAGCGAGTACAGTCAGATGGGGGGGGTGTGGATACAGCTCAGCAGAAGAGGGCAAGAACAGTCAGCACAAGACCCTATGTTACATCTCCAGCATGCACCCCTCTTTCTCTCTCTCTCACAGACACATAACACACACACACACACGCACACACGCACACACGCACACACGCACACACACACACACACACACACACACACACACACGTTAGTTCTAGTGTTCCATGACACAGCAGGGAAGCCAGAATACATTGTGTATTTCAGAATGTTAGAAGACAGGATTTTGAATACTAAAACACAAATGACAAATGGCTGACACAACGGAAGGACTCATACCTTGATCTGATCATAACATTGCATTTATGTATCCAAATACATTGTGCCATACAGTTATTATATATACAGTATATGTATGTATGTATATGTATCC